CCTTTCATAATAGCCTTTTATTTCACACAGAAGTTCCCTGAACTCTCCAAGTAATTTTCTTTAACCCACCGGGATGCTTATATACCTGCATTGGCAAGCAGAGGGAGTTTCATCTTTCACATATGTTTTTATAGTCTGAAAGCAGAATGGTTTCCTCCTTCCCTTCAGCATCAGCACCATCCAGAATCCAAAATCAGATAGCTGGGAAAAAGGACTCATCCTTGAACAACTCAATTGGAAAAAATAACATTATTATTCTCATTATTAGCTCTTGTTAGTTCTTGTTCTAATCTATGTTATTTATCCAAGTACAATCATCATGAAAATAATTATCTTTTCATGGCTATGCTGTTCATCACAAGAAAGGCTAAGCCTTTACTATCAGTTCTGTATTTTTTTTTTGTAAAAATGCTTGCAAAATGCCTGCAAAAATCATTTGTTTACAAGGCTAAGATAAATTGCTTTATGATTTATAGGAAGACAATCACACACAAAGCTTGATAAAGAGGCTAAGCATCTTAATCTTCTCTAACTGTATCCACATTTCTTCTGCTTAGGCTTAGTCTATTGTCTAATGGGATTAAGTCCTTAACACTTCCTACTTTCCCTGGTTACATTACTGGTATCCCATAATACAGTCAAGAGAGATCACCTTAGGTTTTGTCTTACTCTTTTATGTGAATGGTTCTTAGAACAAATAATTTGACAGTTACAGAATGGCAGGGTGGTGAAATAGTAATGAAAATTTTCTCAGTAAGGCCACAGGCAAATATTTTGTTAGCAAGTGATACCAAGCTGTAATCTTGGGGGGAAAAAAGATACTATGTACATATACACACTGTGTGACTACTGAAATCTCAGTGTCATTAACATAGCATGACACTTTTAAAAAATTATACATTATACTTATACACATAAAAATATACATAATTCAGTGATTAAAAAGGCCAGCATCTGACATGTACATAGACTCTGATAGGTAAGTTCTAGTATTAAGCAGTGAGTTAGATGCAGTCTAACAACATTGTCTGGAAGAAAATTAGTCCTTTCTGCAGTCTAGCATTCTTTGCAAAGTTCTAAACAAGTTCTTGCTCCATCTTTGCCAGAAGTGATGGGCATGAACTTAAAGCATCAGACTGGGATGCAATTTCTGATGGGTTTCTGCATGACTCAGGGAAAGCTGTTGCAGTTAGAACAGGAGATGCACAACTTTCTTCCCATGACTTTGTCTTATTGGAAAATTAAGCCTGTGCATGACAGTTTGTAGAGAATGAAGAGATTTTGGATTTATGATACTATCATGTTATTTTTACATATAGCATTTAACTCAGTAAAGGTCCTCTTACAGGATGCCTGAAGCACTGCTTAGTCATACCTACATTGTGCAAAGAGTGGCATGTCCTTGGAAATTAGAGCCACTCTTCAAGCCCTTGTTGCGTGCATGCACGCACACATACCTCACTGTGCTACCTTGTATCAAAATCTCCTTTCTGCTGCTGCCTTCTCAGTTTCCACACTAAACACAGAGCCTACACGTTTTCATACCATGTAACAGAGGGAAAGGGTGAAATGAAGAAGAACAGAGGTTTGTCCAAGACCTGCATGTACCTCGTGTGAGGGAAACAAATACATGCCCAGTCATAGCAACATTCAGTCAGAGGACACATGTTGAAAACTGCAAACAAATTTATCTTTTTTTAAGTGACATAATCTTCAATTTAATCCCATGCAAAACACCTTGATGATCTCACTCTAAAGAGTCTGTGTAAAAAGAATAATTGCTGAAAGCTAACAAGCCACAAATAATAGCATTCTTACAATGATATTTTAAAAATCAAGAGGATTTTTGTAGTTCATTCTGGGTTTGAGATCATCCTAGAAAATCCCAGTACCAAAACTGCAGTTGAGGGATTCTAAAGGCAAGGACAAAAGCATCTGTCAGCACCACAGTCTGTAAACCCCTGGCTCATTTAGAGCAAAATGATTCAGCCTGGAAAAATATGAAAGCATATTCCACATTAATTGGTCTGGTGCTTCAAGGACAAAGAACAAATTTAAATCTAAAACATGATCAACATGGCACAAAGACCAATTAAAAACAGGCATGCAGCTATCAGAGGACATATAAAAAGTCCCATGAATAAGAAATAAAATTAAACAATGTATTACACCAGAGAAAAAGGGGAGAAGGGGGAAGGACACACAAGCACCAAATATCCCTGAGTGGAGAGACAAGGAAACAGGGAACTAGTTACTTTACAGCTGAAAAAGATTACAGGATAAAAAAAAATATTTTTAAAATATAGTAAAAAAGAAGATGATCAAATGAAATAAAATAAATGTGATGGAGCGTAGGAACCCCCAATAAAGGAAAAAGAAAAATCCTCATTGAAATCCTCTGACAAATCCAAGAGAAGAGAAGCTGCAGAAAGAATGAGGACTGCACAAAAAAAATCACTGCCTTCATGGCTACAGACACTGCACATTGAGGCATGACTACATCTTAAAGGAACATCGAAAGCAGATGCTTTTCCCACCTTTAAGCCACAGACAGAAACAAATCCCTGTAGAGCACAGCAGAAGCAATAATAAGAAAAGAGGTGGCAAAGGGACTGGTATGAGGTGTGTTTCTGGAAGGGAGTGGGCACAACCAGAGTGGCTGCCATCACAAAGTAATTATCCCAACACCACTGAATATACTGGGGGGCCAGGGGGCACTGGATCCTAAAAGCTGGTGCTGATGTTGTGGAGCTTTCTCTTCTCCAGCCTGATCAGTCTCAGCTCTCTGAGCCTCTTCTCATATGAGAAATGCTTCCATCACTTAACCATCTTCACAGCCTTTAGCAGGACTCACTCTATGTCCATATCTTTCTCATACTGGGGAGGCCAGAACTGGACACAGCATTCTAACCACAGCCTCGCCAGTGCTGAGCACAGGGGAAGGATCACCTCTCTCAACCTGCTGGCAATGTCCTGCCTAACACAGCCCTGGAGGCAGCTGGCCTTTGCCTCCAGAGCACATTGCTGCATCCCAGTCAACCTAATCACCAGATCCACCAGGTCCTTTTCTGAAAAGCTGCTTTCCAGCTAGTCAGTCCCAGCCTGTACTGGGGCATAGGTTTATTCCTCCCCAGGTCTACAGGCTTTGCACCTCCCTTTGTTGAACTTCATTAAATTCCTGTTTTGCCATTTCTCCAACCTGATGAGGTCCCTCTGAACCATCGGGTGTACCAACTAATCCTCTCAGTTTTGGATCATCTACATACTTCCTGAGGGGGTACTCTGACTCATCATCCAGGCCACTAATGACAATATTAAACAGTTCTGTTCTCATTATCCAACCCACGGGTATACCACCAGGAACTGGACTCCAGCTGGATTTTGTGCTGCTGATCATAACTCCCCAAGTCTGGCAGTTCAGGTTGTTGTCAATCCACCTCACTGTCCACTTTCTAGTTCATATTTCACCAGTGGTCTATAAGGATTCTGTGGGAGATGTTGGAAGTCTTGTTAAAGTCAAGATGAAAAACATCTGCTGCTCTCTACTCATCGACAAATCCAGTCATCTCATTGTAAAAGGATGTCAGGTTAGCCAGGCATGCTTTCCCCTGCATAAATCCATGCTAACTTCTGCCAGTCACCTTCTTGATAGGTCCCATGGTCTTGTGTACATCCAACTTCTTTAAATATCCCATAACCAGATTCTACTCTACTAAGGGCAAATCTTCATTGCTCCACATCTTCCCACTGGTCTCAGGGACATGGGATTTGTGAGGGCAACTCTTGGCAGTAAACACTGAGGCAAAGAAGACGTTGAATACTTGGCCATGGTTGTCTGTATAGGGGCAGAATTTAATCTAGAACATGGGAACTAACTAGATACTTGGGACTGAAACAAGAGTGAGACCTCTTCCTTCATAAAGATTTTACCAAAGTCATACACAAATTATTTGATTTAAATTACATCTGGTAAATCCTGTTAAGTAATTGTGAGACTTTCCTGAAAGGAAAAATACTTCTTTGCAAACTCAGAATATACTTGTTCTTTCCAGTAAAGAGAAGGTGATATCTTGTGATGTATCTGAAAATACCTTGTTTGGCACAGATCTGTAAACACTGAAGCCAAACTCATCAGACACCTCAAATGTGAGAATCTGAGACTTAGAAAAAGGAATGTTGCATTTACTCTGAGGGATTAAAAGTTAAGTGTGTGCAATGCAGGACGGAGATATTCCTTCATATTGGAGGTCTTAATGAAGCTTGCCACAGCTCCCCTCAGCACCTATGCCCAGGTTTACTGCATATAACAGCCAAGACACGTACCCAGGTCTCACCATCATAAGAGTGCAGGCACAGCCAGAATAAGCATCCAGATGCAAAATCAGGGATCACTTCAGAGCTCTGACATACAGATATAGATAAACAGGAGGCTAGACTTCCCCAATGCAAGATCCTAAAATATGCAACTCGTTCCCTTCCTGACTTTAGAAGTAACTGAGTGTAAAGATTTCCAAGGCAGAAAGCAAGCCATAACATTTCAGCTGTATATGATTATGAGCAATGAACCATCTCATAGGTGATGATCTGCTATAGTTCCTCTCCTATATAGAAGGGTAAGAACTGATGTTTGTCTGTAAGTCAACTATAAATAAACTGCCCCCCTGCCCCCAAACATATAATTACATTATAACAATAAATAAATAATATTACATAAACATACTTCTTCATTTTGTTTGGATGATTCTTTTATACAATAAATTCTCTTGATATTCACATCCTTCAAAATGTTCCAACATTCAGGACAGGAAGGTTTGCTGCAGTAAAGAACATCAGGCCTTTGATGTGAAAAATATATGTATTTGCACAACTAATTCATTTTTCTGAAAAGCTAAAGCTAAATACAGAGGTGACTGGTGCAAGTCTCTTCTCCATGCTGCTGTGCCT